GACTATCACGGGCAACATCCCACATATGCAGACACAATGAGGTGGAACAGATAAACACGTGCGAGCAGACGCCGCGGTGAGGTACAGCAGACGCTGTGCTTGTGCATTCAAATGTCCTCAACACAAACACTGACACTGATATTCATGCACACACAAAGTTTAGTCTCACTGTTGCACGATGATCTGTTTTCTATAAGAAGCTTGACTCCTGCTGTGATGACAGCCCAGGGTGGAAAAGCACACACGCACACACACACACAAATACACACACAAATACACAGTAAATCTAAGCAGCTGCCAGGCGGAATTTTTCAAGATTTTGTGTTGCAATGCTTTGTTACAATTCCACATTTGATTGGCATTGTTTTATTTCTACTACAGTATGTTTTAAAGAAGGAAACTAGTGAGTTGCAGATCCTTGAAAAAGGCAACTATAAATGCTTAAGTATCCCTATTTATAGACAATGATTTAACAATGATGAGTTGAGGTTTTTTTTTTGTTTTTGTTTTTTTTTTTTTAGTGGTTGAGAGTAAAAACCTATTTTGAAAAAACACATGGCTAAATCACATAACGGGTCAAATACAATTTTTTTGCTACAATAATGTGTGGCTCACACTGTAGATATTATGAATATTTCTCAATACATGTGTAAATTTGCTGCACTTCGTGAGCCGAGCGTTTATGGGGGTGTTTTTAGGTTTTGGAACAGCAGGTTCAATGTACTTTTAGTGCCAGTGTTTTCCAGCACATATACACAGATTAGAGTTGTAAAAATGCACTGTGTCATCCTTAATCTTTCCTGCGCTACTGCTGTTATTGCACCCTTCCTTGTACGGGAGTCTAACCAACCCTCCTTTCATGCTTTAGTCACCCCGCCTGGACTGCTGCAACCTCCCTCCTGGCTCAACTCCCAAAACACACTTTAGCTTTTGCATCCAGTGCCCTCCCATCACCCCTCTGTTTCTCCAGTCACACATACTGTATGCACACTCATGCAGCCACACATATCACAGCCCAACCTCCGGATCCACAGGGCTGTTTGCATCGAATACAAACTGTGAAGCTTAAACAGTCTTGCTCGGTGCACATCGACCTG